TCGAGCGACATCACTTTCATGCCAATTCATTAACTTTTTTGAAGGTGGGAGGGTCCCTTTAAAGATAGGTGCGCAAGACCAAAGGCGAGGGACAATACCTAAATGGAAGCGCGGGATGCCTTATCAACGGAGCTCTCGAAGTTTATACAATGTCCATTGACTTTTTCTTTTCATTCAATCGTTTCACAGCCAAACAGGGCATAATCCTCCCCCAAAGTCTCCACAAGAATCGTAACTGGATGTGAGCATCATTCTCCGATAAGACGAAGGCTGGGATTTTCATTTCACTCTGGAGAGGCGGGATTGATGAGGACCGGCCTGCTGCAGTCTAATCCAATAGGGTTTCCATTCAGCCCTGGCGCGTAGGAGTGCGCTCGATCGCCATCGCCACAGCGCAGGCCGACTGAATAGCCATTTAGGGCTTCGGACTGTCCGCGGACGATACATGCCACTAGATCAGTCGCTTCGCCCCTCCTACCCATACTGGTCAGCAGCCCACAGAGTTCCCCGATTGCTGCACCCACTGCTCAGGGTGTGTATGTAAGTACCCACAGGACCGAGGCAAATGTCATACTACATATATGATAGGGCCACTGTTGTTCTCGTGACTTGCGCCTATCGATATCAAAGTCTTTGGTGGTAGTGGTTCCGTGATTTTGTGACTTGGTGTCTTTGTGGTTATCTGTAGGTAAACCTACCATAGCCTAAGACTTTCTAATGATGTTTCTCAATCTCAACGTTATCAGTTCGTCGAACTCATATTGAATGAATGATATTGACTTAGCAGACTTTGAACTACCTATCCAGCTTTCAACTATTTTACTTTATCATTTTGCTGCTATCTCATGCTAACACTGCCGTCACTTGGCCTTGTATGTGTGTACCTAGTCCTACATGTAGAGATGGATTATAATATATGTTCAGTATACATAGAAGTTGGCTAGTCGTATACAGTGACTGAATGAGTGGATTATAGGTTCAGACCGTGATGTACTGTGTGTCCACATCTAGTCAGACGTGTTTATTAGTCCAGTCGCCAAAGAAACAGACACAACGAATAGTAGACATGTTATTAAGGATTTTATTTTTGTCTGGCCTGCGGTGAGTTGATACCAGCATGCACGACGCCGTATAGCTATTGACAGTAATATTTATCATAAGCTCGAAGAACAAAGCTATACGCAGTTTCTAGCGGTGCCGTCTGGCCCGTGCCTCGTCTCGGACAGCTGGTGACGTCACAGTTACGTCACGACGGTGTGTTGGCAGACGGCCGACCACGGACGTCATCGGGCGCTGTTCGCACACAAACTCAGTCGAGTCCGCCGAAACGGAGCCGAGGGCAGAGACAGAGACAGAGACAGAGACAGGGACAGAGACAGAGACAGGGACAGAGACAGGGACAGAGACAGAGACAGAGACGTGTGCCGACTTAGATATGCAGTCAGGATATGCCATAGAGGATATGATCGTTCCGGTGATACGATAATTATTGAAATACGAGTAGCCTGAGGTCGCAGCGGGCGCCGTGCAGTCGCCAGTCGCCGGTGAGCCGAGGTGCGCGGAGGTGGAACGACCGTGCCAGCGAGTGCCGATTGCAGATTATATGGAAGGAGGCGCTCCACTGTGGCGCCCCTAGAGTGTACTTTCAGTCGCCGCTGAGGACATAACTAGCAGATAAATCTGTCGCCGACAGGTACAATCACATTAAAGCAAGATGACCGAGCTGCCTGCCACACGGATGTCCCAGTTTCCACACACACCCGAGAAACATGTGCATTGATATCAGAAAACGTCTCCCGGAGGTCGACTCCTGCGCTACAGACTTAAGTAAATCATTGCGGCGATAGTTAAGATAAAAAGTGCTTTTTTACATTCAAGGTTGCAAGGTCTTATTCACGTTTTTCTTTTGGGTCAGCTTAAACGTCATAAGTTGAACCTTTGCAAATATCGAAGTTTTGAATTTTCATACAATAAATATGATGGACAGCAATAGGCAGTTTGGGTGGAAACATAAGGTTACGCTTGCAGTATGAAACATTTAAAAACTTGACAAAGTCTTCAGCTGAACTTCGTCAAGTAAACGTCTTTCCGAGAGTTTTTCCAGTTATCTATGCACATGCCATGTACGAGTAGTATAGATATTCAAATTCTGCGTGCCCATTGAAAATACAAGAACAGCGCACCGACAAAAACATAACACAGACCAACCAGCGCGCCCACCGCTGTTCATGGAAGTGGTGTACGATCGCGTGCGACGCAGCGCGAGGCGCGTCGAACGTCCGCCGGCCGTCGCCGTTCTCAGCACCGAGCTCACCCGGGGAGCGGAGAGCGCCGCCGGCCGGGTCGCCCGGTGGGGTGTCGGTAACGGAGCGGTGACGATAGTCCGGGGACAGAGCGGTGGCGATAGCTCGGTGACCGCGCACAGTCCCAGATGGGTGCTGTATCGACAGGACAGGTCGGCGGTTCGAAGCGCGCGCGCGTCACATCCGTTCACAGTTCTCGTTCCTCTCGTGTCGTCAGACGCGCCCGGTCGTGCCTGTGGGGTGACGAGCGCACTGCCGCGAAGCCACCGGCCGCCGCCGCGCGCTGAGACCCGCCCGGCTCCGCACAGAGCACAGAGCTGCTGTGGAGGTACGGCACACACAGCGACCGCAGAGCTGACAGCCATCGGCTCTGGTTGCCGTGAGGTGCAACAGTCCGGCGGCACCCCGGCCGTCCAGGGATGGGACGGACGGGGCGACGCAGCTGTGTAAAACAGAGTGAGGGAAACTAAGTAGTGGCCAGCCACATCACACGATAAGTGGGACAAACATGAGTAAGTACTGCGGCCGAAACTGAGATCCGAGTGTGGTCTGAGGAGGGAGCGGGAGCAGGCCGGGGCCGGCCGGCGGCGGACGGCCGGTTCGGCCAGACAGGGTCTCTGCGGACCCGGCGTAACAATGCGCTCGTCTCTGCGCCATCAGACAACCAGCCAACGCCCCAGCGATACAACATACAAACGCTCGAAAAATAGACAACAAGTACAGTGAGCCGGCGCCTGTGGGTCGCCCGCAGCCTATCACCACCCTCCATCGGTCCGACGCCGAGGCGGGGGCGGCGACCAGCTCATCAGAACGTCCAGCGCGACCACCAATCTTAAATTTATACACTCAAAAACCCTATTTCCGATTTAGTGCCAATACAAAAGGTGCGTCCAGATACGAGTGAGTGCAGATCTACGCTCTCCTACGGGTAATAAATCTGTTCCCCGAGTTGAGATTATTTGGAAGACCATGTGAACCATTTGACGAGATAAGTCTGCATCGGCCGCGACTCTGGGCCTGCTGAAGCGTCCACACCGGTAGCGGCGGCCGGCCGGCGGGCTGACGCCCGGAGCGGGGCAGGGGCGGTCGGCGGCGGCGCCGGCCTGAGGTCAGGGTCGGGCCTCGGCCGGCGGTCGGTCAGGGTCTGCGGGCGGGCAGCGGGACACCGCCGGCGTCCGGCCGGCCCGGGTCAACACAATAACGCCGCAGAGCCAACAGCGCGGCCGCCGCGGCGGCGCCCATACACAAACGGCGGCCACCGTGCGCGCGACGCGGCTGCAGCTCGACCCGGCCCCGGCGGCAGCGGCCCGGGCCCGGCCGGCGCGCCCATTTGGATCGGGCAGCCGCCAGTCAATCGAGCTCGAGTCTCGACAGATTTAGAAATGGACACTATTAGTTTATATATCAAGCGCTGAAGCAGACACTTGGGCGACTGAGATTAGACAAACGCTGTTTAGATTTGGCGCTGTGACGTCAGATGACTGGTGCCGGAATGGCTGGCGCGGTACGGCGGTGCGGCGGCGCCCGGTCGGCGGACCGGCCAGCTGAGGTGGCCGGCGGTCGGCCAACACCGGCTGCCACGCTCTGATAGGCCCTATCAGAGCGTGGCAGCCGCTGACTGCCCCTGACCGGCCCGGTCAGGGGCACCGCATCAACCATCGGCTGACCACCCGGTAACCAGCTGCGCCGTCCGTCCAGACCATCTGCTGACCGCGGCGCCGCGCCCTCCCGGTATTGGAGCCGACAGACCCGGCGGAAAGGCCACTGGGCCGCCCACCTCCGCCGAAATATCACCCATTCGCCTCGGAAACGAACGCCGCCCGTGCAAATGGCGTGGAGCGCGGTGGCGCGGCCGTCTGTGCCGGTCATCTTTCTGAGCCGACCGTCCATCATCGACAGGACCGCCCGACAGCGCTTCGGACGACCTCCAGCCAGACACCAGCTGCTGAATCATCTGTCGTAAACTTCCGGCAACAAATCCCCGTCATCTGTTGCGTCTTAACAGGCCTCGGAGGGACCAATTTAACCGCGCCGGCCGCCGTCGGCGCACTTATGAAGCGGCCCGCCTGGCGCTGACGCCCGAGAGCGACCAAACAGGAAAATACGGCTTCCGGCCGTCGGCGGGAGACGGTCGGCTGACTGAAACTCGTGACCGTTTCTCGCGAAGGCGCCAGCTGCGGCGGCTGTTGGCCGCCGCTCGGCGATGGTCCGGTGGCGCGCTATGCGCCGATGACGCGCGTCGCGCGCCGCCAAACGGGGGTGTCGGCTGGCGGCCGATTACCGCGGGTGCCAGCGGCGCTGGCCGGCCGCGCGGCTGCCAACTCATCTGGGTCGCCGCTCGGGACGGGATCAATGCTGCCGCCGGCGGCCGAGGCCGGTGTCGGTGTCGCGTGCCCCCGGCCGCGCGCGCCGCCCCGCCCCGCTCCTCTGTCAGCGCCGCGCGCTGTCTCCAGATGGGCCGACAGCTATTGAGCCAGCAGGCATGTCCGATTTCCGGTGGCCGATCCCGGCGACCGGCGATCGACCCGCCGGCCGGCCGGTGGGGCCGCCGCGGCCCGCGGAGGGTCGCTTCTGACAGACAGGTGGTCAGCGGTCCCTCTGAAGACGGGCGGGCTCTGCCTGCCCCCCAACAGCCAGCGCCGACTCCGGAGATCGACGGTGATCGACGACCCCCCGGGGGGGGGGGGGGGAGCGCACTTTGCCGGCCGCCGGGCGCGTGCTCTCAGCCACATCACTTGACACGCCGAGTGGTGTCGTTACCCATCATGATACATGCCCGAGTCTGTTTCCCGTAACGAACAGAAATGAGATGACTGGTCACATTAAAAGCGCGTAGTTTAAATTTAGATCGATGAGGTGAGCTGTATGTCCCAAATAGTATCAACGGGACTCCTAAGCTGCTTTGTTCATCGTGCAAGCTACAAATACGATCTTCAGTGTACTATGAACCGGTGTCAGTGAACAACATCACGATTTACTGAATGTTCATGCGTGCCATGCGCACTAAATGTGCGCGATAATTGCTCGAGCTCATTGCTTATTTGTGAGTAACTCTCTATCAATGCAACGGAGACGACAAAGATGAAACACCTTCCCATACTTCGACACATTATGACATCATTAGTGCGAACAGGACAAAAATAATGTGTGTCTGCCCAAAGTCGGTAGCCGTATGCTGCCGATAGGTGGAACGCTCCCTTTTCCGCCGCAGTAGCCTTTCGGGGCTGCCTTCTCGGCGTCGGTGAATCTTCTGAAGGGAGGTGTCCTCGGCAGGGCAGTCCTGCGCGCTGGCGCAGGTGTCCGGGTCCGGGTCCGGTGTCCGGTGTCCGGTGTCCGGGTCGGGTCCCAGCAGCAGCTGTGGGCTCAGGGGGCACACCTGGCGCCGGGACCGGACCGGACAGACGCGTCCTTCCGGAGCGTGCTCAGCCGATCTCTGCTCCCGCCGTCTACAGGTCCGGTATCTGCCGGACACAGCGACAGACACACGGCGCGGTTAATTCGGCGCACATCGAGCGTCAGTGGTTACACAAACACACCCACACTCCAGCGGTGCGTATTTACACACACAGTGGCGGGAGCGGCAGCTTCCGGCTGCAGCCACAGCAGGTGACACGGCGAGGGGGCGGCCGGTCGGCCCGGTCCCACTCCCGTCCAATACCCATTGAGCTGGGGACACTCGACCCACGCGTCCTCCCACTCGCCTGTCACCCGCTCGCTGCAGGTCGCCGTCACCCGAGCGGTCACTTACTTTCTGAGAAGGTTGTACCCCGGCCTCCCTCCCTCCCCGTTCTCCATCGGAGTGGCAGCGGGCGGCGGGCGACGGTTCCTCCCAAATTTGTCACCGACCTTCGGGCCCACCAACTCGCGTCGGCGGCCGTCATCTGGCGACTGACGGCGCCCCCTGCCGCGCATCGCCAACGGCCGTCGAGGGCCACCCTCTGATGGCATCAGACAGCGGCGTCGGCCGGCGGCACAGAGGCGTCATCAAAAACGGCTGTCGACCTCTGCCCGATTCCGGCAGGCCTTCCCCTGAGCCAGCGCCGGTGCCGCCGAATACGGCCGTCTGAGTCAGCCAGAGCACGCAAGGCCTCCCACCTGCTGGGAGCGGGTGACGTCAGCCCTGAGCTCATCGGCCCAAGGAGCTGCCGCCAGCACGCCCCGGATGGGCGGCCACCGCGCGCCGGCCGGCCGGCGGCGTACCCGAGCGCTCGGCTCTCCGAATGAATGGCCGGGGTGTGACGGACCCGGCGGCCGGGTCTGGGCTGGCCGATAGCCGCGGCACCGGCCGTGCTGCCACCGCACACCGCGGCGCCGCCGCCATCAATCGGCCGCCGCCCCCGGTCAGCTCGCCGGCCCGCTGCCCCCGCACATCCGGTCACCCTCCCTCTGCGAGAGCGGACAGCCCGAGACTCACCCACTGAACTCTAATATATACTGGAAGGAGCATTGGTGACTTGTTTTTGTCTATCGATTTCCGCCATGTTGTGTATACCAGAAATATAAATTGCATGTACGGTAGCAGAGGTGCAGTTTAGTGAGAGGTACACTACTCAAAAGTGCTGCTGCTTCATGCTTGCAGTTTGATTGCAGTGATCAACTTTTCAAGACTTTGGTATACACAACATGGCGGAAATCGTTAGACATTCTGGCCCATATACGGCCAAGGCGAGTGCCTCCCCCTGGACTCACCCTTCGATGTCTGCCAGGTGCGGCGGCGGCGGCGCGCCGCTGGAACAGGCGCCGCGCCGCCGAGGCGTCAGAGCGCGGCCGGGGGTAGAGCCGCACGCGGCCGTACTGGGCGCCGCTCAGACTCTGCGGCTCGGGCGGCGCCGCCGGCAGCTCGGGCCGCTCCAGCATGCGGACCAGGTCACGCAGGTTGTGGTCGGCCGGACGGCCGGCCGGCCGGCTCTGCACCAGCTCGGTGAGCGCCGGCGTGGCGAACTGACGCTGGTGCTCGCCCGGCCCGTTGACCACGGTGCCGAAGGTGGGCTGCGGCCGGTGGCGCGGCGCGTCGTACAGCGGGTTGTGGCGCAGCGTGTCGTGCACGCGGCCCAGCAGGTACGGCTCCTGGTAGCGGGGCACGGCGTTTGTGCGCACTGCGTTCCGGTGCTGTCGCTTGGAGAGCTTCCACATGGCTCTCAGCTGCTCGCAGCTGGGCTCGCGCGGCGCGTACGAGTTGTACGGCACGAACTGGTTGCGCTCGCGCTGGCGTTTCTCGGGCGGCGGCTGCGACTGGTCGGTGTCGTGCTGGGCGCGCGCGGCCGACAGCAGGGTGGCCAGCAGCAGGGCGCTGAGAGGCAGGCGGAGCCCCATCACCGACGGTGGCTGGCCAGGGGCTACCAGCAGCAGCAGCGGCGACAGCAGCTGGGCATCGGCGGAGCCTGTCGGCACACCGGCCGGAGCGCAGCACAGCCGGTCAGATTTGAGGGTCTACGGCACAACGAGCAGGGAACAACAGGGAGATGGAGAGCTCAAGAAGAAAGAGGGAGAACCAAAAGAAAGAAAAAAGCGTGTAGAATAAACAGAAGCAAAATAAGGTAAAAAGACGAACATAAACTAGTGGGATGAAAAGGCAATGAAAATATGGGAGAAAATATACCTAAGAGGCAAGAGCATCATCGATAAGAACTTCATTACTGACTTGGCATAACTAAGGAAATCACATGTTTCTACTATGAAGGTGTATTTTGCTTAATTTGCATCATGCGCTATTGGTAGGGGAGAGCGGGGCCAGTTGAACCACTTTTTATATATTGACATGCACAGCGAGATCTAGTTGGCATATCGAAAAATGCACAATGCCATGAAAAAATATGCTCTTTTGGCTTTATTTTAAGATATGTAAAATTATGTTTCAAACATATTTTGCGGCCAAACGCATGCTTATAAAACAGCTCTACGCCCGTTTCAAATGACCCCGATGCGAGGGTCAATTGAACCAGCCCATGGGGTCAATTGCACCTATCCTTAACAATGGGATGTTTTCCTCTTTAAGGCCACTTTCTTAAGGAGATATTTTGTCCGGTTTACTTTTCCAAATGCTTCATTCAATAGGTCGTTGGAAAGCTAAAAGTGCAAAGTTCCTCATAATAGGTGAGATAAAGTACATAGACTATGGTAAAATGGGTGGATGAGGAAAATGAGAAATGTCTCAGGCTATAGTGTGCTTTCAAGCAAAAGGCTGGAGAAAAAGGGGTCAAAAATTGAGCTCTATTAAACTACTATTTCAGTTAAAAATCTCATTACAAAGGTAGACTATTTCCTTTAATGTTTACAGCCCCTGAACAATAACCATTGCAAAGGTCACCGGGGTCCATTGAAACGGCCTGTGACCCTGTTTCAACTGACCCTCAGAGAAGCGTTTCAATTGACCCCATCCGCTCCCGCCATCTCGCACGCGCCGTAAAGCACATGTCAAACGAGCTGGAGGGACGGCATCATGCTGAATGAAGGGCCAAATAAGGTGTTATTCCGGAGCCAGGAGTTCTTCTTTCAGCAAACAAAGGTATATGAGATATCACAAAATATTCATAAAAACGATTTCTTCCAAACGTCCCTCAAAAACACAAAAACAAGTGTCAAATCAAAATTACTGTATGCCTGGCCTATTCAAATACATTAGCCAGAGGGGTGTGGTAATAACTGGTGTAAGCAAATTGACCACGGTCAAAAATGCATTACCAGAATGCACTAAAGCCAACATTTTGGGATGGTCTCGTTCCTAAGTCGGCTAAGAGCTTCGGTCCAGAAAATAAATTTATCGTTGGCATACAGTAAAATACATACCAAACTCGGCCGGTGATAAATTTTCAAGACCTCAGTCCTTACTGATTTTTGAACTCGGCCTTCGGCCTCGTTCAAAAATCCAGTAAGGACCTCGGTCTTGAAAATTTATTTACACCGGCCTCGTTCAGTATTATATATTACCGTCCGTTTGCCGCCCAAACGCCGTTGACAAAGGAAGTGGTCGAGCGCGGATGCGCAGTGGTGTCGGCAACGCCATATGTTGCATACTGTTGAAAATAAAGCCATGTTTCATCTGACCCCGTGTTTCAACTGGCCCCGCTCTCCCCTACAGTCCTCATACGTAGGCATGAACTGCAGAACTACAATGGACCGGCCTGAGGCGGCCCCAGCCAGTCTGTCTCAGGTCCAGGCGTTAAACACTAGGGTACGACAATTTTCATTACATAATGAACAGAAAGGATAGTTAACAAACTCGTTTTATTTGCATTAATTCCATTTTTACGACTCAACTTATTTAAAGTGTCAACACCTAACATGTTGATAAGCATGAGGACGAATCAATGAATGATTCGGCTGAGAAACTTGAAGAATTTGTAAAAGGATGATAAACTAATCTAGCCGCTTGTTTTCTGTTCTTGAGATATCTTGAGTTTTGGGGTTGTCTTTGTCCCATCTACATTGCACAGGCAAGCATGCCTATGTACTATGCAATATAAGGGCAATGTTACCGATAATACTCCCAAGTCACTGGCGGAGCAGGGAGGAGTGCCGGGTCGAAGCGCCTCGCTTGCTCCATCGTAGCCGAGGTCGACACTTTGATTGTGTGTTTTGCTAGGGGACACGCTGACTCGGCGTTATCCTGGCACCTATTGTTGTCGTCCCTATCAGAAGAGAGCGCGGTGTGGGAATACCAGGGGGCCGCAGAACAAGCTCCCACGGGTAGAGTAGGTAAGGTTCTACAGCCGCATAGAGCGTGCCAGCGACACGGCTTCTTAGTGGCTGTGCAGCTGAGCCACAAAAAAAGATCCACCATTGGTACTGGCAGACGCGTTCCTCCGAAACGTTATTCGTTTTTGTTCATCGCTAGGTCGAAATATTTGACTGTCAACGGTCATCGTTTCCAACTGACAAGTGCTTATTCATAACGGAGCTTGCGGCTAAATCCGTAGTTTTTGCCTCATAGTGACTTTGGTGCATTACAGTTTTTTGTTACCCTTCACTAATGACTGAGCTGTCAGCCACGGCCTCGTCACAAAATTATAACGGGCGCATGCTTGAGCAGTATTAGCTTTAATCAAACATAAAAGGTCTTTTGGTGTTTGGTTATGGTCGCTATTTATGGCTCCCTCGAGCGTCTCTCATCTGCCCCAGACGGATCACAGCCTCTTTGTTTCTTTTATCGGCCGTTAGATTGGCTATTGCCTGCCTCCACGGCCGGTGTCACACGTCCACACATCAAACGCCGTCGGCGAGCGGCCCGCTAAATCGGCCGGCCCATCTTCCCCGGTTACTGGCGACCCTCTCCTGCAGATTGCATATAAACCGACCTCCAGCGACCCGGAAATGGCGCGGCGCCGGCTGGTCCTATTGAACAGCGCTGCTCGCCCCCACAGGGCCTGGGCCGAGATCCGGGTGACTTGGAGGATATTACGCCGCTATAACCAATCACCTGTTACACAGAAACACGGCTCTGCCGTCTCCGTTTGAATAGGAGCACCCAATAACCTGCGCCGCATGCTGAAAGGAACAGCGCTCCGACACAGCTCAGCTGTTCAGCAGGAGGCTTGATGTGTTGCTCCTTGTTTACAATCTGTTGGACATCTAAATGGCTAATTAAGCTAATGCGTCTATTTAAATGATGAAAGGCCCAGGCCGCCGTGTAGCTACTGCTAGAGAGCGGCGCTGGCCGCTGGGCCCACCGGCCGATGGACCCAGCGATCCGCGCTGGCTCATCGCCCTCTGCAGCACTCGTCAAACGGAGCGTTACCGTCTGAGGTATTAGCCAATTACCGGCGGCTGAGGCCGGTGCGGCGCGGCCGCCACCTCAGGAGCCCGGCGCGCAGAGAGTGTCCTGGAGTCCACTCACAGCTGGATAATTTCAGATCATTTTAGTTGCTCTGTGTCTGCGGCTGTCACGGATGGACAAGTTCCAGAAGAGGTACCAGGATAGGGGATAAAAATAGCGCCTGCTGTTTAAACTACGATAATGAGCTTCTTGGCCCCAGAGGATGACGCTGACAGTGATTCTGAATGGATTGCAACTGGTTTCTGTGCGGATAATGTTGGGGCTCGGTAGAAAATAGGCATCACACATAAAAACGAATAAATTTTATCTGGAATCCGGAATCATAGGGGAAATTAATGCTTATAAGCACCGCTAGAGTCAATGCCCTATAGAGTATTGACCTTAGCTTCTGACAACACTGGAATTTTGGCCGTCGCGTAAACAATGGGCATACATCATACATTAGCAGAGAAATACGCTCTACAGCCATAATACTCGTACAATACTAGGCGAATGTCAAATTCCCTTGTAAACTGGCATTTACTTGATCATCAAGCTCAAGTAATTGGCTCTCTTATCAATTACCCATAAAATGCACCGCTCATCATCATTGACTAGCCCTAAACAAAACTGTTCTAGGAGCCTCAATGCATTAAACATTTATGGATAAACGCGCTACTATCGTTTCGCGTCTATGAATGAGCTCGATATTCGTCTTCTGGTTCATATATCAGCACACGCAGTTTCCGGTCGCCATTGATGTCCGTAATGCAGTCCACCAAAGTCGCCGACAGCACAATTACGGCTCTACGCGCGCCTTAATGCAGCGCTCATAGTTCGATTGAGGAGTCGGCCGGCGGCGGCGATTTGGTTTCAGCGCGGTCTGAATGACTGACCGGCCGGATGAATGGAGGCTCGGCTCGCGGGCACCGACCGCGCGCCGGCGCCTCTCTCCCGCCGCCGGGGGGGGGGGGGGCGAGGGGGGGGCGACCCCGGAGAGATGGCCCGAGCGACGCCACCGGATGGAAGCCGGCCGGCGCGCCGAATGAATGTGACAGCTCTCTGAAACCGCGGCCGACACTGACGAACGGTGCTGACGGCCGGCCGCCATTTGTGAAACTTATGTCAGCTGTCCGGCTAAGGTGACGTAGAAATATGAGGAGTGTCATTGCGGTCTCGTGAGAACATGACTTCTGCGTGGGTGGCACGCAAATGACGTAGGTACATACAGGGCAATTGAGATGAGTGATTTGTTGTGTGTTTATCACATCCGATGTGAATCACATGTTACTGAAAAGATTACAAGTAAAATATAAATATGAATGCAATAAAATTAAAACCTAATGATCAATAGCCCGCAGTTGAGCTAAATTTAACTGTTGAATGCCAAAACATGCAATGTGTATGCTTAAATGCCCCTTTTAACCCTCGCCCGCACATGGGGGGGGGGGTGGTTGCCACCCCCCCCCCCAGGTAGTCTTTCTGCTCTGCACTCAACATTTTTAGAGCTAGAAGGCTGATATTTTTGGTATAGCTGCTCCTCTATCATTTCTTGATGTCCACTGCAAATTTCAAGTTTCTGTGATTTTTAGTTTCGGAGATATGACCTTGTTTGTCAGGTCATGTCAT